TGTTACCACAAATCGACTTAATTTGGCTAGCATGAACTTAGTCAAGTGAGTGGATGCTGGTACACATCGTGACATGAAATCGATAGATGATGATACACGATTAGCACGAATTCATGTCAGTATCGCTTCAATTTAATTGGTCCTGCCGCAATCGAGGTGAGGTTGTAACCACTAAGTTTGTATAACAAATTTCATCATTGCCCTCAGAATGTAGTTGCCTGATAGAGATAAGTACTGTGAAACCCCGTCGTCACAAACACTTCTACAAACGACTTGTGCCACCATAAAACGGCATGATGACAGTGAAAACTCAGCTCAAAGAAATTCCAAAGACCCGATAAAGCATGAGTGGATGACATTGAAGACGTAGGGACGCGGCGGAGACCACACGAAGCACGAACTGGATCCCTTAAGCCATATCACCTGGCAGTTTTACGAGGAATCATGTGGCAAGCCATGTGAGACCGCGTTGAGTCGCATCATACTAATAAATGCTTAGGATTGTTCAAAGGAGTTTGTAGCGATTTCTTTTGCTAACCATAGTTGGCGTCACGAGATAGACATGCAGCCTTCAGCATAACTGCAAAGACGTTCGATCGCGATCAGGGTCATCCATTATGTCGAGACTAGACGTGTGATGCGAGGGCATGAAGTGAGCACAGTGACGTGGGCTTTCGGTGACACCAACTAGCATTTTTGTGACGAAAAAAACACAAACTGGCGACAAACGTTTCCATAACAGGAGCTTGAGTTCGCTGTCACGTGATGCATTACGGGTTATCCGAGGTCTACAGAGGCTGGTCGAATGAGCTGATCTCTCAACAAACAGTCACACGACTCATTTCCTGTTTGGCAAAAGACGACGCCACTTTGGAGAGGTGAAACAGCCCTTCCGAGGGACTCGGCTTTCTCCAAACCGGCCCCATGTCGGAAGTCGCGTCGAAGTTGAGAGATCCCACCACCAAGGGCTACTGCTCGTGGAAGTACTTCGCAGAATCTCGACTCTCGTGATCGTGAGGGCCAACACAACGGCAAGTAGGTTATTGATGCGTCATATTTAAGTCCTAAACGCAAGTTGCTTGCTTGTTTTCCCGAGCCTTTTCGCCTAAGCGCACGTTAGATTGTGCGTGGAGATTTCGCTTGTCAAATCGGAAATGTGTTGTTACCACACAGTGTTATTTGTGTGGTAATTTGCCGTACAACAGCATACAGTGGTCGGGCCTTATCGATCGATACTTAGGGAAGTACAGTCGTCCGCAATGTGATCTTCGCCATGGTTTTCATGGGTTAACAGTCGCCAACGGAGGTTTCGGCTACTTTATCTCAGCTACGTTCCTCTGTCCAATAGCTGGACCTAGGTCTAGCCACGCATCATCGTGTTGATTGTATGCATTTAGGCGCGGTACGGGGCATTAATTTCTTAACGTGTAAATGTGCACGGCATTCACACCGACGAGTCACAACCCCACTCATACCTTTCGCGTATCACTAGGCTATCAACGAGTCCACAGAGATCATTCTAAGAAAAGATAATCACACATTTATGATTGACCTTGGCACCTCCGATAGTTGTAGTATTTGGTTGGGTGTAGGTTATCGGAAACTCAGAGAGATGGTTGAAATATCAGAAGGCATTCGACGAAAATAAGCCTCATTTGATAGCGACAGTTTCACAAAGGGTCAGTCACCTGATCCCCTTGAACTGAAATGGGTTCCCTATGGTCATCGTTGCGGTTCTATCTCAATCCGAGGGGCAGAAACACTCCGTATCTCTTAAAGAGAGGGCACTATCAAAAGCTGAATAGGCATTTAGCATTAAGAACAAAGAGCTGCTAGTCTTGAAGTTCTTCCTGAAGTATTGTAACCAGAGATTGCCAAATAATGAGTCCCTTTATTTGGCTCAGTAGCTTTACCGAACTGACCGGTATTATTGAAGCAATTTGACATTAAAGTAGAGTACAACTCATGTGAGTCGCACGCACACGAGGACGTCGTTTCTTGGGTGCTTGAATTCATGATCGACCTCACCGCTATCTCAATGATGCTGACAGCAGTAGAAAACTAAGTAGCCGTCCAAACTTACGACTCGCAAAATTAGGCTGATTTGTGATACGCAACGCACTGCCTCCACCGAACCGACTGACATCGAAATGACAGAGGCACCATATCCTGTAGTGTAGCAGACTGTCTCGCAGATGCACATTAGTCAGCCAAACGTGTGCGAGGCTGCTAAGATCTTATGGGCTACCTTCAAACAACTGTTAATGGATATCGCTTTCGTAGTTGTGGTTGATTATTTTACAGATTACGGTCGCGTCATATCAGGTTTCGTGGGTAGTGAGGCATCTGCTGCAGCTTCAGTACGGTTTGAAGACCACAGAATGACCGAAAACCAGTATACATAGGATCGGTTAACATTGACCGCTTAATGTGCGTTCAAGCAAATCGATTGAATATTGCTAGCTTACGCTTGCAAACTGTTTTCGCCAAAAGTGTAGTAGGAGGCAGATTAACTGTTGCCTATCATCTTACTAGATACTCCTTCTATTTTCGATGATGCAACGGAACTAATCAGAGGCATAGACGACTAGGATTGGGCTGCTCAAGGAAACACAAACCACTTATTCAGGAGTTGGCTCTCCTGCGTCTTTTTATGCACACACTTCCCTGGTTTTGCTTTATCGGCTTCCTCGTCATGTCGAAAAATGCTTCAGGGGTCAACCCAAATTCAAGTATGGATAAAGTGATTATTCTATGAGAAGGCATGAATACCACAAATCGTGTGTTTTGGTAACCCTCATATTCCGAAAATATGACTAGTTCAGGTTTGGTCGTGTTAAAGGTCCCGTCTTGTTGACTTAAACCACGCCTGGGAGCAGACAAATTAGATCCTACAAGGCTTAGCTAGTTATCTGTCTTCGTGCATCTGAATGGTCTGCCAGGAATATCTCCCGCCAATGAACGGTGAAGCCAGCGTAGTGGACGCGGTTGGACAGCCTTTATTGAACGGTTCGAGCAAGTGATTGGTAAATTAAGCATGTTCTCTTGTACCAGCCTTCTTCATTCTAGGGCTCGGATATTGTACACTGTCAGTGGCTTATCTGAACAGTATTAAGTTTTTCTGATTGGTAACTGGATCGCCAACCTGCATGAATTTTAAGATAGCGTTGTGTGTATGATGTTGCGGTTTTATTTATGCAAGCGCAGAAAAAAAGAATGAAGCAACAAATATGTTTGTCCAAAAAAATCGATCATTGCCTAATAGAAAATTGCCCAAAAGCGGCAAACATTGAGACTCTGCTTATTCGTGTCTTCAAACATAGTCCATATGGGAGTTTCCACGATCTAATTGGCAGATTTTGAATTGAAGGAATTATTCAGAGTGGCAAACTTAGTAATAAAAGGCAAAAATAAGTGAGCTGAATGCAGCAAGTATTACGGCTTGGTTGCTGTCACTAAAATATAACACATCACATTAAGGGCGTTGGTTGGTTTTTTTCAGCTTATTTTGTATCCAATTTATCTAGCAACCACGAATGAAGTTCATTTTTTAATATAGAGCATCCATAAGGCTTTTAAATGTTATACAGTATGATATTTTTTAAAAGCCAAAATTCTTTTGGATTTAGCTGCTTAGTGTAAATGCAAACCGAAAAACCCGGACTTGATTCGTCATCAATAACCTTGGGAGTGCCGCTGGATAAATTAAAATTGTGTGCTCCTGCCAGTTCTCGATAAGCCATTTGGTGAGTAGTCACTTGGTGTTTCCATGAGGTTAGTTGCACTTTCTGTTAGCTAGCACTGTTGCATGTTTTTCGCAGTCATATTACCCATGGGAAAGCGAGGATATAGTAGACATAATTAAAATTTTGGTAAGTCTCTAGACTGTTGATAAACAATTTAAGATGGGGTACGTATATTGTTGAATTAGTTCTAGAAAGGTTAATAAAACTATGCAGGGTCCTATGTTTTGTAGGTAAATAATCACGCTCTGTATATTGAATATGCAAGTAGTATAAATTATGCAAAATACTTGAACTTTGTGAGAACATCTAATGGTGATTTGTCATACTGTTACAGCTCTAAATGCAATTTACATCAAAGTCCGGATTTATCCATAGCTAGTCTTGGCTAAGTGTCCTAACGTCTGCTGCAAGTTCATTTACTAATTGTATGGTGACATTGATTAAATGTGAACTGTGACATTGTGAAATGCTTTGTTTTAGATCAAATACGATGGAAACCTGTAAGAGTTTGAGGGGGCTAAAATGCATGCACTTAACTGCAATGCTAACAGGCATAGCTGGTGCTTGCTACTGGTTCGGTTAAATCTAACAGTGGCCATTGTAATGCCTTAGTTAACAAACACTTAGTGTCGCATTGTAGACTCATGCTCCGCAAATCACACCAAACTTGTCATATTTCAAAGTTTCATAAAAACATGGTTTTGTAATTTTTAATTTCATTTTGCGAGAGCCTTTGTTATAAAGAGTTGAGAGCAAGGTTGTTCTTATCGTTGTAGTTCCGAATTTCGTGTGCCCAGACTGCGAAACGTGTTTTGGCACCAGGACAGAGATAAAGTCGCACTATAAGACAAATCATGTTGTTGAAGGTAAGGTGTTTGGTGAACCCTTGCAGAAGACATTGTCACAGCTCCGTCGTGCTGGCTGTAGTAGTTGACCGTTTGTTATTCCCACGGGCAGACTCATGCGAGAGAAGTGATGTTTGAAGATCCATCAGTGTTTGCTGTTAGTCTACTTTCAGGATGCATGCGAATAGGTACTTTTGCGTAGACTGGCTGTTCCATGGCCTGAATCAAGTGCATTTCGCATAAAGATATTCAGTGTGTGTATGTGAGTGCATCCAAAAGCATTGAAGGTGATCACTGATTTCACATTGTGTTTTTGATTGAGACCTTGTTGCGTGGATTATTTGTTGTTCGGCACCAGCATTTTCTGCGGCCTAGAAGATGTAGATACAGTGAGTGGTTTGAGATAGACATGGTGCTTGCTATTTGCCTACTAAGTATGATATTGTAGTGTTGGTTTTGCATTTGTCACTCTAGATGATGATGATGGGGAGTCCACGTCCACACAAGATGCACCTTTGGAGGACTGTGGAGCCAGATCTAAGACGAATGAAGAGCCTCAGCAGCACGGCCATTCTGAAACCTGTCATCGAAGTTCGACGCTGAAATCAGACCAAGGTTAGTGACGCGTTCAGGCTACCTTTTGCCATGCCTTTGTTGATATTGGTTAGGGTGTTATCGAAGGCTGTAGAAGTGTAGTGGTGCTGAATATGTTTGGCCAGAATGACATTGTCTGCATGAACGCAAATAATGTGATGACTATTTTAGGAATTGGTTGTATAAAAAGTACGTGCTAGTAGCATTTAAAGATCCATTTGTGGTAGTTGAGTGGTGTGGCAGTGTAGTTGCGCATGTCAATTTGCTGAGTGGTTTGTCAGTGTGAGTTTGCCAGCGTCGTCACATGCAATTGGTCAGATCTTCGTTGTCAAGGGCACACTAAATGTTTGCTGATAGTTTTTTGGATGAATGACTGAAAAATGCGTGTACACGGCACTTGCGAACCCTACTTGTTCAAACCTGACTTGATCAATGTGGTAAAAGATACGGCAGGCGAGTAGTTGTGACAGTAGTAGTCGAGCTTTTGCTAACTCGCCCGCAGTGTTCATTTTATGTGCTAAATTCGATGATATTGCTCTGGCACGAGAGAGAGAAAGCCTGGATTAGTGCGTCTAATTGGCCCACGAATCAGCGTGTCTTGCTGAAGCACTGAGCAGTCTAACTTTTGGTGCAATCCGAAATTGGTGTTTGTTTGTGATTTGCCAACTCGGTTGTGTATTTGCTGATGTTGTAAATCCTAGATGTTGGACAAGCCACGCTACGGAAACCCCCACCATGTATGCATTGCAAGGTGCAACTGCAGACGGTTGAGGCGCTTCAGGGGCACTACCGTTCACGCGTCTGTCTTGAGACGTCGATAATCGACTCGGCTGACCGAGGTAAGTTATGCGTGGCGGCTTTGATTTGTCGTTCCTGCGAACTTGTCCCTTTTTTGGTCGATGTCGAATGTGAGGCTGGTTGCACCCATAGTGTGATTAACCACGCTGTGTTTGTTTACCAATAATGTGTGCATTATTAATTGAAAAGGACTTGGAATAGAACACTCAACATTGCGAAGGTGTTTTGAAGTGGGTTGTTGCTATGATAATCGCAACGACGTAAGGTACAAATTGATCTAGGAGCATGGGCAATGTAGACTACAGACCAGTCGAATTTTAAAAGTGGCTTTCGGAAGACGCGGTGGTGAATGCCAACGAAACCCATTGTGGTGTGGCATCGGATTAGGGCGCAGACATGTTGGACCACCTGGCCTCAGCCAATCCCGTGTCTCTCTGGGATCCAATGGCATGCGGGAAAGGAAGGCAGCCAACCATAGAAGGACACGACTGAGGTGGAGTATATAATGAGCGGCGTGGCCAGCGTGGTGGACTCGGATGGAAGGCGCCTGACGTGTGGCTCTGGCTTCTGATTGGTCAATGAAGCCTGTTCTGTTGTACCAGTCTTTTTCCTATTAGGGCTCGGGTATTCTACATATGGCGACGGTTAGGGCGCAGACATATTGGACCACCTGGCCTCAGCTAATCCTGTGTCTCTCTGCGTTCCAATGGCATGCGAGGAAGATGAGCAGCCAACCAGAGAAGGACACAACTGAGGTGCAATATATATTGAGCGGCGTGGCCAGTGTGGTGGACTCGCAAGGCGCCTGAAGCGTGGTTCTGGCTTGTAATTCGTCAATTAAGCCTGTTCTGTTGTATCAGTCGTATTCATACTTGGGCTCAGGTATTCTACATTGGTGGCAGCGGATGCGTTCGAATAACGCGAATCGGACCCAGCCCATCCCTTAAAATGGTCAACAGAGGCAAAAACCCTTGAATGCCAGCTGAATTTGCCATGACGGTCATCCGATGTCCCATACACTGGATTCATAGACATTGCTCGGGATCAGGACTACTGCATCTGAAGAGGCATTGACAACTCAGCGACGACGACATGGACAGTAGAAGCCATTTGGACCGCAATCGCGGATGAAAACTGCAACGGATGAAGCGGCCTTGCTGCTAGTCAAAGTTCCTCGTCAACTATTCGCATGGGCCACTATCCTGCCAAATGTGGGGTGCGGGGCGTGTCGAACTGGATATTTTAACAATCAAGAACAGTTTGGGAACCGACCCAGAAGCTGTGGATAGCTTCACTTCTGAGGGGGAGGCAGTGTGGCGACGTCTGAGGGCGCAGACATATTGGACCACGCTGGCTTCAGCCAATCCTCTGTCTCTTTGTGTTCCAATGGCATTCGAGGAAGATAGGCAGCCAACCAGAGAAGGACACGACTGAGGTGCAGTATATAATGGGCGGCATGGCTAGCGTGTTGGACTCGGATGGAAGGCGCCTGACGTGCGGTTCTGGCTTTTGATTGGTCAACAAGGCCTGTTCTGTTGTTCTATCCTTCATTATAGTTATGCCTGATGGTGTTGAGGTCATCGTTTTTCTGTTTTTAATGTAGGAACGGTTCTCTTTGTCTTTTCAGCTTTACTTTGCGGTGTCGGTGGTTAATTTGTCGTTCCCGTAATTCTTAGGTACTGGAGAGACCATGTTACGGAAACCCCCACCATGTATTCATTGCAAAGTCAAACTGCAGACGGTTGGGCAGCTTCAGGAGCACTACCGTTCACGCGTCTGTCATCAGACGTCGACAGCAGATTCAACGGAGCGAGGTTGATTTCATTTGCCGGTGTCATTTCCCCCTTATTTTCATGTCAAACCATTGTTTTGTTGTAACTTATTGTACTTACACACATTTTAGTAGTTATTTTAACATTTTCAGTGGCCTCGTTAGGAGATTGTGAATCAGAAAATGATCTCCGTGAACACGTTTCGTCAATTTTGCTGGATCAATTTGTTCCGGAGGTTCGACTGTCAATATACAATGAACTGTCCGTCCTGTTAGCCACCTCAAGCAAAGAAGGGTTGTAACGCCACTCTGTCATTTTGAAGATGGTTTTTTACAAAATTCTGACATGCTGATTTCGTGTTTTTTTTTTCGACTTTATTTGGCTAGCAATTTCAATTGTGGTTTCCTGAGAAGAGTGAGGTGTGTGCAGGTCTGATGGCTGAATCCCTAAATCCAAAAAAATGCACATTTCAAACGAATTTTTCCAGGTATTTTGTCTACTGACTCTGACAGTGTAAGGTTTATATATCTGCAATTGACATCCGAGAGGTAGCTGAAACATATATAATTACTGCTACGTTTGCCCGAAACCAAGCAAAAAACCCTTGTCAGACGCTAGAACCGTCACGCTAATGCAAGACGGGGCCAGAGTTCGTGCAGAGAGCTTTAATCGTCTCAGCCAATGCGCACGTAATTTGTCAGAATGTCAACATTTATATGGATCAGGGGTGACTCATCCACTGACGTGGCGTTGTTACCTGGTTGGTGCAAACAACGACGAAATCGGCGATGAGTCATCGCGGGGAATCTTGGATCCCCAACTTCCTGTAATCCGTGACAGTTGATTCGATGTTAATTTATCCACCAATTACTTGGTTATTGAATAACAGTGCCAAGTTATCTCCTTTCGTTAATGATAGCTTTCTCATTTGGCACGTATTTGGTTGTTTGTGGTTGTTGGTTTTTGAAATCAAAGTGCTGCAGTACCTTTTTATTTTCTTGTCCTGTCATGTTGAAATTTTAAGTTTTGCTAAGCGTTTTAAATGAACTGTGCACTGTAAAACTTCTTGTTTAAATAGATCCAAACACTGAGTATAATAAGCGGTTTGGCGTCCTGTGATTGCGTTGCCTTTGAAGTTGCCGTTGTCGCATCGGAGCGCTTTCTTTGTGTTGCTTTGATCTGTCCTGTACTGCCGTTTTTTAGTCAGTAGCAATTTTTGTTTCCGCCTCAAATAATCTCGTGGGTAAATCCGATTGCAGGCTTCACAAAACCATTCGCCTGGTAAACACTAAACCTTCACTGAAGTTTCGTTGCAACGACGGATCGATTCGCAGAACAGTTCAAAGAAACGGGGAAGAATCGTGTAACGTTCGACAACGAGTACTTGTCTTCCGCGTTAGTAGCTCAAGCAGTAAATTTTAAACAGCAGAGGTCTGTAACGATCAGAATTAGAACAGTGGACAAATCTAGATTGACGTGTAAACGTCATTTTTTTCGTGAGTATGCACTCATATGCGCATGGGAGTCATTCATTGTACTATTTTCGTCCTCCCCAAAAATCTTATTCGCGTGCCACCGAAATTAGCACCTTGAATACTCTCATGTCGTTCTGGTGTCGCTAAAGTCCACAATCTTGACGCTCTGGAGCTTCCGCAATTCTCCCGATCTGTCGGCCTAGTGCCCTCTAAACATCGCATTTGCCATGGCAACCGATGCCGCTGCGATCGCCTCCTTCCTCATTAACGCGCAGTTTGTCATAGTCTAATTACTCTAGTTAACGGTAATTAATTTTATTTAAAAACGCGCTTACTTCGCACTCGTAATCTCTGGCAGGGTTGTCACACTGATCTCGCTGTGCGCATGCGTAAATAATTCAAGAAAACTGTAACAACCACAACAGAATACGCGAATTCGGAAAGGTGCTTCGAAGTGGGTTGTTGTTGATGCTGTGAGAATTGAAAGGGCGAAACAGCTAAAAGGACTAATCGGGCTCTTTAACTAACAGATAAATCGATTTCTGACAGTGGCCATTGGACCAGACGGTGGCGTGGGAGGTGCGGTGATGAATACCATCGAACCCCATGCCCGCATTGTTTGTGTGCATGAAGACCCTGTCGACCAATCAAATCGCACTGTTTGTAGCCTGTCATGGCGGTTTTGCTAAAAACAGCGCTACTAGCATAAACGTTGATGGCTGTCGCCGCTAACCCAAATGACGCCTTCGGAAAGCTCAAACAATGTTCACTTGGCGTCTGCATTGAGTCTGGGTTGATGAATGGCCTGGTTTGACCTTGTGGTTGTCATGGTCACGCGTTATTTCGCGAGGGTGATTTATACTGGGTTTGCATTCCTGAAAGACGACAACAACTGCCGCTCTCGCGACCAACTGTTCAGAACTTGTAAATTAGGCTGAATTGTTCCTTTACAACCGAAGATATTTCAATGCACCGGAAAGTTTTGTTTTAAATATGGGTTTACCAAATTTAGGAAAGCGAAACCATAACAACATTACACATTGTGTGTTTGTTAAAGCGTTCTAGCAATCGCTAATATCGGGTTTGACATTTACTTCGATTCCATGTGCCTCTACGATCAAAATGCCAGAATCTCCATGTGACGTAGCTTCAGGTATTGTGGATGTGTGTCGTGTCTCTCCTAATCATAACGTAACCAATCAAAATACCAGTTATCACTAATCAGCCAATCATGGAGCAAATTACCTTATCAATTAACCAATGAGAAATAGCCATGTAGAACTATGGAAAGTTGCCGACCCACAAGTGTTAATAGTTGATATAGAATTTACCTTAAACTCTTTCATAAGTCTGATGTTACGATATTACTGTTATAATTAGTATTATACGCAAAATGCAATGCTGTTTTTTTCAATAAAATAGGACTAATCTTGGACGGCAAATGCTACCGCGATTCACGTTTGTTATTTTCGACAGCATCTGCATTTACAAAGCGGCATTTTCGGGCTTTACTTGGGTTTAGTATCTCACACCACTTAATAAATTATATAATGAAAAAAGTGACTACTGATTTCTTAGCGGATATAGTAGGCGGTTAATATTATAGGCCAACGGCGTTGAATCGTGACTCATTCGGATGCGTAAGTATAACAAAATCATGAAGTGGCGGTAGGAAACCCCAAGAGTGTGTAGATTGTGGTCCACTCACGCCTCTAGGCGAGTTTAAATGGTCTTCTATCAAAAATACCCACTCCGCAAATAATATTTTCCCGATGTTTCGTTTGGAGGTTAAAAAGAATTCGCAAAACACCATTTTACTGGTCCACTAACGCAGTATGCTTGGCTGATTTGTTCGTACTTCAAACCGTGTGGGTGCGCAGAGGTGTGGCGTTTGTGAGGCAGTCGCACACACTACTAAAATTGGTAACCACGCGCTAGGTAAATTGCTTTTTCACTTTTCAAGCATGTCTTTCGTTTGTAGCGAATGATGACGAACTCGTGAATGTCCATAGTTGCATCCCCACTGACCGTGGCCTCTACATCTAATGTGAATTGGGATATTGTTGTTGATGGAAGTTGTTTTTGAAAGCTCAGTCATCTTCTGAAGCGTCTTTACCTATCGCGTTGTACCACATGAATTCTCTTTTAAGAAAAACAGCAAACCATGTGATATTGCTTATAGAAAATCTGCAAAATTGCTGCTACGGAAGTTAGTCATTCGGTTTTAGTTCCTCCTTAGTTTACAATATGTGGCATCTATAGAATATGTGGAATCTATCTACAGCACTTTAAGTAGTTAGACTCCAACTATTTGAAATGAAAACGCAGATGTCGGAGGTTAATTTTGTTAGAAGTAACCGCGCACTGTGTTTGGAACAACGAAAAAAGCTGTTTCTTGGAAACCACTGGGGTGTGCGTTTTTCCAAACTCATTAAAAATTTACGCAGTCTAGATTGGGTCCGGATTAAACAGCAAAACGATCCTCAACAGCATTTCAAACCACCTTTTGGATGGTCTCCAGTTATCATCTGATAAATGTTGGAAATACTTTTCATTAAAAAATTTTCAAACAAAGTCTGAATTCATGAGCATTTGGAGAATATGTTGTGGGCCCCAGCATGAGGTCTTGAACCACGCCAGGGGCACTGAATTAACCCTGACCCGATTATGCTTCCCTGATACCCGAGATGAAGAAAAAGACCAGAGAGTACGTGGACACAACCGCTTACTTCAGAGCTCAACCACGTTGGTGTCGTTGTGTCGTGCGTGGGGTTTGCGCGTGTGTATTTATACCTCGGATGTGTGAGTCATACATGCGCTAGCATCGAGACCTAGGTGTGAGGATAACCCAAGATAAATATTCGTGCAAATGAGGGGGAGTTGAGGATCCGCGCAGCAGGCGACATGCTGCGAAAAGGGGGACCCTGTGTCGAAGGCTGGAGGGGTGTAAAGAGACACGATTCACAACAAATCCTTTGCTTGAGTGATTCCGTCCCTACTGGGCCTATTGAGGACTGGCAATAGTTTCCCCCAGAAATTAGCAGAAACATGATTGGTGACATTCAATGTTTTCAGCTCAACAAGTTTCTTGGTATCACTAAGGCCCTGCTTCTCTCAGGACAGCCATATTTTGTGATAACATTTGTTTTTTGCAAAGTTTTTTTTTGATGTTTTTTGGCCATATGCTGCCACGAAAGTCATGTGTGGCCTTTGATGTCTAAACAGATTGCTCATGTGCACGGAGGCACGGTTAGTGGAGAGCTAGATTTTTAGTCATTTGGAAGTTGTTTTACATTGTCAGTAAGTAATGATCTGCAGCGCCAAGTCGTTGCTATGATAACTCACAAAATAGACAGCTATTGTTGCCTCGAAACGTCAAAGTATTTAAGTAAATGCAAAAATTGGCAGTTTCAATGCTCTTGTGTTAACCAATCAGTGTACCGCCACTTCGAAATTACCGCCATTCACACAAACACCTGACAATTACCATGACATAATTTAAACAAATGCAGAGTGTGAATAGTTAATCGTCTTATTAGTTGCACGCGTAGATTTAACACAAACGCCTCAAATCTGGAATCTACCCATTGCCAAATCCGATGTTTAAATTATAATCAAATAAGTACTTTATAAGAAATAGCATTCCAACTAAAGTAGACTTGTGACTAATTTGGAGAAAATGCCGTCATGCATGAAAGAGTAAAACATATCTAGAAAATACCCTGGTTTTCATTCAATAAGAAACGTGATTGGTCAAGTAGAAAACCAATAGGCTTTCGCAGTTTGAAAAAAAAACCAACGTTTCAATAGTTACAGAGGTCTTAACAAGGCTCAAGAATTAAGTGTACTTTGGATCTGTGAGGCAGGGTTGTATAATTGGTCTATTTTGTGTGATCACAGAACAAAATTGTCAATGAACTGTCAGCATACGCTAATCACGCTGTGGAAATTCCCCAGGTGTTTTTTTT